GGGTACTTATTAAAATGTTCAGTAACAGTTATCCTGTTTTGATTAACAAGATGACATGACAGAAAGGGGAAGGTGAATGGTAGTTCTTAGATATGTATAACAAAGAGAATTTTCCCCCACAATTTTCACCTTTCCAGAAGCTAGGGAGATCAATAAAGCACCAATCAATGCTTATAAGGCAAAATAATAAAGTAAAAACTTACAACTGCCTCTTATAAGAAAGGGGTGGTGTAAATAAGTTAGGAGAGAAAATCTTATTCAATAGGTGGTGTTGATGTTGAAATGAATGGTTAAATATTTGCAAGAAACAGTTAAGCACAAATCAAAAGAAATTCCACAGAGAGTAAATTACACATGCACATGACAGTGTATATGTAGTTACAGATATAAATATATACATATGTAAATAAAAATATAGTTAAACATGGAAGCAGTGGGAATAATCTGAAAAAACAATAGTGGAATCACATATTGTTCATGGCAGACTGGCCCTGTGAAGCCTAGCTCAACAGCTCAGCCACCTCTCTCTTGTCCCCAGGATGTCAGCACCTGTAATTCTAGCCAACCAAACCCATGATGTTCTTTCAGCATATTCTCGACCAAGACTTCTTTCTCCCTTAATCATTACCCTTTCCTGATGACATGCCTTTCCCGTTTAGTGCACCTGAGTGGCACTCCTGTTACTCAGTTTTCAAACTTTTACAGAAACTTTAATATTTGAAGCTCCTGATAGTGCAAGAAAAGGGGGTGACAAAAAGAAGAGAGTTGGAGGTGGGACCTACCGGATGAGAAGACTAACTGTTAAGTTCCTAGACAGTGGCTAGAACAGGCTGGGAGCACATATATAATTTAGAAAAGCAAGACAGGCTTATATAAAACCACAAACTCATTACCAATAACTTGGAGGAAGAGATATAGTAACTCTTAAAAAGTCAAATACTGCCTCTGGGGCAACATCCAGCATTTGGATTCAGACCAGGGGTGTGTCCGGATTCTAACACTTACTGAGGGGGTAGTTTTATTTGAATCATCTAACCATTTATCATTTAATCTCTCTGGCCTTTAGTTTCTCAATCTGAGAGTTTTAAAGAATTACTAAGTCCTGGTCTCTCTACGCCAGCCTAATTTTGTAGGGTAAATTTTTAAAAGTCTCTTTTTCTAAAATTTCCCTAGTGTGATCTGGACACAGCGACTCTGAGGACTGGTAGTAGGAAATGAACCACCTCGGTGGGTTAGCACACCTCCAGCCCGCACCACACCTCTCTGACTGTTGCTGGAGCCCATGACTTCTTTTTCCATGAGGAGTAAGGGAGACCAACTGAGGTGCAGAACTAAAGAACCTTGAGACAGTGGCCAAGGGAATGGGGAAGCAGGTTTGTCCTTACCACCTTTCTGATGAAGGAGAGAAGGCAGGAACAGAGACATGCCCTTAATGATCCAAGGTGGTCCTCAGATGGGTTTATCATGGAAATACTATGAGGTGGTGGCAAAGAAAATGCCTACTCAGATACAAGCCATATAGACCTCTGGTCTTGCTTGGAACCCAACCTGTAGGCTGATCCTTGAATAATGTGGCTATGAACTGTGTGGGTCCACTTATACACAGATTTTGTTCAACTGAGCCACTCAATCTGACTGACTTGCACATTCACACCCACACTGTTCAAGGATCAACTGACAGTTGGGAATCTGCATATTTGAAGGGCCGATGTAGGTTACATGTGTATTTTCCACTGCATGGGTCAAGGTTGGCGCCCCTAATCCCTGTGTTGTTTAAGGGTCAATTGTATTTGTATTTCAGTAGGAAAAATGCACTGCAATCTCCAAATGAACAATTTATTATTATACATTTGGAGCTGACAGCACACAAAAACAGGAACATAATCCCAAATGTATAGGTCAGGTTTCTGAATTTATTGAGTCATTTGTGTTTTTTCTTTTAGTATAACCATGGAATTAGCCTTGACATATTTTAAGCACCAAGCTTTCTTCAAGTCAATACTATCAGCTTTCTTCAATGATTATCTTCCTATTATCAGAGTTTAGGGGACAGAGAACAAGTCTTTAAAGAAGTGACTTTGAATGGACCAATCAATCCCTTCGGGTTACTAGAGAGCTTAACCAAACATTAGAAATTTGCACTAAGAGTCAAAGGCTAATATAAAAACTGGCAAGAATCAATATGATAATGCAAAATAGCCCCAAGTATTTAGCCCTGATCATGTACCAGCATAGTAGTTATCACTAGGCATTAATATTTTGGTCTTTATTTTTCTGGTTAAATATCTACATTGTTAAATTGCTTTCTATTCCCTCTGCTAAAACTCTAGTTTGCACCTGAGTTGGCATATCCTGTGGCAACATCAGGATAACATTGTATATGTTCACAAAGCACTTCTGTTTTCGAAGGCTTTCACAGCATTATTTCATTTGTTTCTCACAACAGACCTGAAGCAGACATATCTAATAGCAGCCTCATTTCATAAGTGGTAGCTGAGTCAGCAGTCACTCAGCCAGCAAATAGGGAAGGTGGCACACTTGTCCAAAGGTAGAAAGAACAATGGGAGCCAGGTGGCTAGTGAGTGGAAGCCAGACTGTAGAAGGCCTGAAGGCTTAAGGGTTGAACCAATTTGGTGGGTAATGAGGTTTTCATCTGGGAAGTGATTAGATTTGTATGACAAGAAGGTAGCAGGAAGAATGAAAGGAGCAGGTGATCACTAAAAACAGGTGATCTGAAAAACAAGTGCCAGCCTTGGACTGTAGAGCAGTGATGGCAAACCTTTTGAGCTCGGCGTGTCAGCATTTTGAAAAACCCTAACTTAACTCTGGTGCCGTGTCACATATAGAAATTTTTTGATATTTGCAACCATAGTAAAACAAAGATTTATATTTTTGATATTTATTTTATATATTTAAATGCCATTTAACGAAGAAAAATCAACCAAAAAAATGAGTTTGCGTGTCACCTCTGACATGCGTGTCATAGGTTCGCCATCACTGCTGTAGAGGGTAATTCACTCACTCTAGTCAGCTGGAGCTGCTTACAAACAACAATCACTTTCAAAAAACTTTGGGAATGGGTCATCTAGTGGTAAGAAAAAGTAGCCACTATGAGCCCCAGAAGTCCTCGGATCCTTCAGGCTGCTATGGTCCTTTACCATCTATGCTCAGAGAGGGCAATAAGGGGCCCTTCTCTCTATTCTTTTGTTCCTTTAGTCCATGAAATAATAACAGGCTACCTCAGGGAAGCAATCCGTCTCTGGTGTGTTCTTTCCATGAGTTGAAAAGTAGACCCACAAAAACTATAGCAGAATCCTAGAAAGAATACTCACAAGATTCGCTCATTCAACAAACTGTTACTGAGCCCCTATTATGTGCAGGTACTGTTCCAGGCAAGAGGAGACAATAAGGGATCAATGAAAAGCACAGCTCTCATGGAGCCTCCATTATGACCACACCTTTGTGTTTCAGGCCTTCATACTTGCTCTTAACTCTGGCTGGACCACTTTCCCCCCAAAATCCTCATTGAGTCTCTTATTCCCTGACCTCTTTCATATTTTTTCTCAGTATCACCATTTCTGTGAGACCCTCTCCAACCACCCTACTCAAAATTGCATCACCTTCTTACACTTGCCATTCCTTGCTTTTTTTCCTCCATAACATTTATTACAATCTAACATATTATAAGTTTCTCTTATTTTTTCTTCCTTAATTATTTTTTTCTCCCATTAGAATCTAAACTCCAATTGGCAGGGGATTTTGTCTTTTTTGTTCATGACAATATCCCTGATTCTTTTAGCAGTAACTGGCACCTGGCAGGCATGAAGGTAAGCCGACAAGTTCACTCAGGGATCAAACAGCTGTGGCATGCAGAGGCATGCACCCACTTGTATTCATTATTACAAACTATATGTACTTTCCCATACAGTCAGGTGTAAGTTCTTTATCTTGAGCATATAATTTTAAAAGCCATAACCATCCAACTTTGTAGGCATTTATCCTTACTATATTTGGTTTTAGTGGTTTGTTCTGAAACTAAACATTTTCCGCCTCTTATGTTGTCTTCAAACATGAACATTCTTTTCTTTTCATATTCAGGCCATTACTATTTTCAGCTAAGTATATGTCAATTCACAATATCAGCACAGCTCCACAAAACATAAAAGTGATGCCAAATGTCTAAGCTTTATTCTTTTCAAATGCAATTTCTGATTTTATTTCTCCATTTCTCCTAAATAGTTAGTTTCTCAATTCAAAGGTTTGGGTTGCAATGATTTTCAGGAAAAAGATACAAAAGGTAAAAAGCCTCTGATATGGAATTAATTAAACACTATGCTCTTTACTTCTCTAACTCCCCAGAAACACTGGCTAACAATGAGAAATGAATGCAAAATGCCAGGATGGCTGATCTTAACACCTGGTTCTCCCACCTACAAATTATGTGACTCAAGACAGCTCTAGCTTCCTATCCATAAAAAGAAGAAAATGATGTTATTCTCTGACCTACTCACCACAAAGAACTTTTCTGAGAATGGAATAAATTAGTATTGCAGTATGCTTCAAACTATAGAGAAGCAATTGTTAAGCCCTTTTCATCTCATGGAACACATAAACTACTAAAATTCTGCAGCACACCAAAAAATATATTTTTGCTGATCTGACCAAAAAAATAGGCATAATTTTGATTTTGATTTTTTCACACTGGACGACTATTGTGTCAATTTTTTGACAATCTAAGGAACAAGAGGTCAGTGTCCCCAACTAAATAGTTAGATATTGAATGTTTTAAAAATTCTTGAGGCACACTGGTTGAAAATTGATGCTATAGAGCAATACCCAAATGAAAGGTATAATGATTTTGCCTAAAGGTGAAGCCCTCTTAATCATTTCTTGAAGCACAGTAAAACTTAAGAGTATTTTTTCTTCTTCCCATCCCCTTATATCAGGTATATTACAAATATTATACCTAATGTAAGATTTTGATAGATTTTGGGACATACCTTTGATTGTATTGTCCTCAGATTAAGCAAATGAATGTCACAAGGCAGAGATGACAGTAGTGGGGAGAATTCACCCAGCAGCTGAAGGGTGGGCACGGGGCTCTTCTCTGTCATTGTAAAGACAGGGTGATTCAGGAAAGAAGAAGTTATGTGGCTAAGAAGGGAAGGATAACTGACTGCCTTCTTTTCTTCCTCCTATCAAAAAAAAAACAAACCACAAAAATTCTTAAGAGTTACATATTTGCAGTTTTCATGTTACTAACTGAATTATCTGGTAGGATTTAAATAGAAAGGAAATATAAAAATATATAAATACTTTGATTTTATTAATAACAGCTATAGAAAATGCATAGCAGATTACCAAGTTCAGTCCTAAGCAATAAAAGAAAACGAAGTGTCCACTTAACTCACATGTTAGAAATATATTTTTTTCTGTTGCTTTAATACTAAAAACCCTGAAAACGTTTCCCACAAACATTTTAGGACAGGTATAACATTTTACAGAAATTCTTTCCCAACATACCACAAAACTCTTAAAGTAAATGGACTGGGATGCTCATATATCTTACATGTCATCAAATGTTATCTCTTTCCCCTCAGGTTTACCCATCATATTCTCATGATTTCATCTGTACACTTAACTAGATCAAAGTCATGTGTTGATACAAAGCTATGTTTCACAAATGTTACCAGTGATAGGACTTAAAAACTCTCAAAATAAATAAGGGTTTTAAATAACACAGGTGGCATATCTAGATCATCTGTTCTCTTTAAATTGGGTAAATCACTGTCAATTGCTTCACTCTATTCCCCAAACTGGAACTGTTACATATGTTATGTAACACTTATCACACATTTATATGATACACAATTATTCAGTATAATTAAAAATACTTTGGTCTTTGCTATGGTATATACTTGTTGACAAGCATTTTCAGCATGTTCTAACATTATATAAGTCTGCCAGGACGGGGACATACATATGGTAGATGACACACAATTAATTAAATCAATGACTAAGCAGAACCATCACCAATGATGCGTAAGGTGTAAAAGCAGACAGAAATGCACTAAAAAGAGAAAATTTATGTAGAAAGATCTTTTGTTCACCAGTGACATTGGAGGTAAATTTAAATTTGTATCATATTTCTAAAATGGCTATTTCACTGATATCTTCTGATGTTACATCCTTTTTCAAATGAAAGGCTTGGCTACTTATCTGTGTGAAAAGGTAGGATTTATAGAAGATACAGAGCTTAAAATTCAGAATGTCAGATTAGCATTGAACAGAGGGTGTTAGTGAAGAGTGACAAGCATCGTGTCTGTAGCAAACTGTAGATGTCATTACAATTTAGATCAGGGAGAGAGAAAAAAAGATTTTTAAAGGCAGCAGAGAGACACACAATATTAAGATACTGACAAAAAATATGAGGTCTGAAAGAGTTGTAAAAAATGTATCCATTCCACATTTTTTAAGGAAAGATTAAGTAAAGCATATAAAATATTATTCTCCAACAATATTGAAATTTAATGCAGCTTGTAAAATAATATGAACAGAGAAGGAACATTTTCAATAAGACACTTTAAATGTGGTCCAAGATCAAAGAACTTCACAATGTAGGTCAGGATGGCTGACAAAATCACCTTTGAGTAATAGAGATAAAAGATTGTGACAGAAAGGAAAACACCTGCCTTATCAGATTCAGGAGCCATTAAGTTCATTTTAGGTCAAGAAACACTCAGAAAAAGCTCTCTGACTTTGTTCTATGCACTTGGAAAAATCCCTGGACACCATAGTGAGAAGACGCGGGACTTCTTGATGGATTATCTATACACACAGTAATGTGCATATTTACCTTTCCTTTGGTGTGCACATTAACACCAAATCAGTTCACCTAACCCTCAGTGTTTCCCCCCTAATTGATCATACACAGGAATGGCTTGGGGAGCTTTTAAAAAGCACAGATCCCCAGGCAGGGTTGGGGCCTGGAAAGGTGAAGCTTAATGCCACTCCTTTCCAGGTAAATCTCATGTAGTCGGTCCCACACTGCTCTGTGGACCTGTGCTGAGAACTGCCACCCCAGACAGACACCCTTCCAACTTTCTAGAAGAAATAGAATGCCCCCTGGAACCAAAAGTATAAGCCTCACCTTTTTAACTAGTTTTGGATTAAAAAAACACACACAGGATACAGACTCCAAAACATATTCATGAAAAGTCTCATCAAAGAAACAATGTCATGAATTTAAGTACTCTGAAAATTCAAGAACTGTACCATTTATAGTTCTAAGCAAGATAAGGCAGGAGAATTTAGAGAAGAGAGTGAGTTCAGTGCCATAAGAGCACCATGGACAATGATACGGCTGGAAGCCGGTTGGGTGGGGCCTTCTCACAGAAGTCTCCACCATCCACACACTCTCATAACATATTCACAATGACAGGTGGCTCACAAAGATATTTAACTGTTGAACTACCATTATTTGGATTCATTTCCTAGACAGGCAATCTTTTCACAGTAATGCTTATGATAAACCCAAAGTTTATAAACCATGTTCAAGTGTTTGTGCTATAAATGAATTCCTCAGCCTTGTATGTAGTAACTAATACACTATTATAAACATTACTAGGGGCCCAGTGCATGAATTTGTGCACCTTGAAAGGACCTGTGGGCTATGAGGCTGCGGTAGGCATCCCTGCCTGGCCACTCCCACCATAGCCCCTGGTCCCCTGTCTGCCAGCAGCCCTGCTCTCGCTGCCGCTGCTCCCACACTCAGAGTGATTGGGGCTGGCGCTGTCAGCGGGTGTGAGCGGCAGCTGCTGCCTCGATCGCCCCTCAGGAGCAGGGGGAGGTGAAGAAGCCCTCAGGGGCGATTGGGGCCGGCAGTTGTTACTCGCACCTGCTGACAGCACTGAGTGATCGGGACCAGCGCTGGGCACTGGCAGTGGGTGCAAGCTCCGGGTGGGACTGCAGCACGCAGGAGCAAAGAATTTTCAGTAACCACCAGAGCCTTGCCCTAATGACAGTGACCGGCACCCCACCTTGGTCTGGCGCCCCCCGATCACCTGTTCCACCATCCCGCCATGGCCGACACCTGCCATGTTCCTCACGCACCCTGTGGTGGTCAGTGCACATCATAGCAACCAGTTGTTCGGTCGTTTGGTCTATTTGCATATTAGAGTCATATATATATATATATATATATATATATATGTTTGTTTTCTTGTTGGTTGGAAGGCTTCAGACTATACAAGTCTAGTTTTCTCCTTGCAACATGTGTGAAATTAAAATATTTTTTTTAGCACATTCTGATCCAAACCACACCAAGTTGAGATCATCTACACTGGGTTCTAGCTCTTATTTCCTAAGCCAAACTTCTTGTCAGGCTCCTTGCTGCCCTTCATTAAGCCCACTCATGTTACCTAATCCCTAAACACCAAAGGTTTCCATTCCACTTACTTCCAAACACCTTTGATTATTCAGTATGAGAGATTGTTTTTTAGTCACCTTTGATTATTCAGTATGATCTGACATAGTGAGAACTTGATAATGTTTGTTGAACTTCATTTATTAATTTAATAAGCAAATGCAATATAAATAAATCAGAGAAAAATATTAGAGGGGAGGAAGTAAAAAGACAGAGGGAAATAGAAGAATGAAAATATATAGAATCTAAAGATTGAGAGATAAAGTATCATATAGCAGAACTGAAGTTTGGTAGTTTGTGGGTCTAATTTGCCTATAGAAATGTTTTGGGAGGTCAGCATGGTGTTAAAAAGTTGTTTGTTTTTCAGGCAACTCTCAATAATAGAAAAAAAATCCAGGAGATTTCACATTAAAATAGTAAAAAATGATAGTAACAAAAACTCCCCCAAAACTATTAACTGTTTTTTTAACCCCAAACACAGGAACTTCAAGTCATACTGGGCTTCAGGTTCCCACGTGAAAACAATCAGTTGGAGCCGAGTTGTGGCTTCCAGGTGGACTATGTGTCATGTTCCCCACAGATCCGCTGGCTGCCTAACTTGAGCCCTTGCCCTTAAACCTGACCAACCTCTCTCATGCCATCACTCTCCTGAGCCCTGTAAGTATTTGAGTTTTTCAACTGATCTCTCCTAACTCCCTTTCCTTATATGTAAAGAATTGATATCCAGAGGTAAAATGATACAACTGTAACCCTTGAATACCTTCAGTACTTATAAGTCCAGCTCAATGCCCAGTTTACCATACCAGTTGCCAGCAGGACTATGGTGGGAGTAAGGGTCAAAGAAATAAATCAGACATGGTCAGTGCCAAAGAGATAATTCCCATGTTTCACTTCTGCTGACCGTTGAGTATCATTACCATTGGAGTAACCCTGGATGAATAGAAGTGAGTCCTGTTCGCCAGGGTTCCACAGAGAGGACTGTTCCAGTCCTTATTATCACTGCCTCTCTGTGGAATTACTCCAATGAGGCTCTGACAGGGTCAGCCTTCCCATTAAAATGCCTTCCTGCCCAGACTGTCTCCCCACCTCAGTTTCTACCATCAATTTTTAAGAATTTAAGACCTGAGAAAATAAAAACACTTTTTAGAAAATTTATGCATATGTAACCCTTCTTTATCAAATGTCTTTTTAATCAAACTCACTAGAAATTAAAATGTATTTTCTCTTCTCTAGTTCATTTTTAATTTAAAAGAATCTATTGATTTAAGCCTAAGAACTTATACCTGAGCAAAAGAAAAATTTAACCAACATAGGATTACAAAAACATTGGATCAAATTTAAATCAATTAGTCTCTAAGTTTTGAATGGGAATAAAAAAATTATTTAACTTGTAAGTGAAAGCTTTATAGGTCTGACATGAAAATTCTTATTGCCATAGTTAACAGTTTTGCAAATTAGTGTCTATATAGAAAGAAAAATCATAAAAGCCAGAAACATTTTCAGGAGAAAAAGACAATAGCTGCCAGTACTCCAACATATTTCCTATGCAGTTTTAGTCTTAAAACTAAGCTATTGTCAGTAGTTGATTTAAACCTTGAGTTCCAAGAACTGGTATAAATCTTGACATCTAAAATGGATATTAAAATCTTTTTTCTGAAAAATTCTAGATATTGGAAGAATTCTTTGCTTTAATTAGATGTTGATATTTCATTCAATGGACTAGGTTTTTACTGATAGAATGCTTACCAAAGGCAGAGGCCCTGTGGGGCACATGAAAATGAAGTAGATAAGCTCCTGGAATTTAGTAGGGGGAGTAGAACAAGCATACAGTGACAGGAAGTAAGCAGTAACTGCGATAAACACAGTGGCACAGTGTGTAGTCACAGCTCACTCATTCATACGATATATACTGGGTGCTTCCTCTGCTAGGAACAGCCTAGATTACAGGGGTGGGCAAACTTTTTGACTCGAGGGCCACAATGGGTTCTTAAACTGGACCGGAGGGCCGGAACAAAAGCATGGATGGAGTGTTTGTGTGAAGTAATATAAATTCAAAGTAAACATCATTACATAAAAGGGTACGGTCTTTTTTTTTTTTTAGTTTTATTCATTTCAAACGGGCCGGATCCGGCCCGCGGGCCTTAGTTTGCCCACGGCTGGCCTAGAAGCAGAGAGAGACATAGCCTCTACTTTCAGGGAGTGTACTGTCCAAAGGAAAAGAAAGACAACAAAGTGGAAAGTCACAACATGCACACATGAAGGAGACATGCCCAGATCTGAGGGAGCATAGAAGGTGATTGGACCTGCTCAAGCAGAAGCAGTTGACAAAATGAGCTCTGATCTGAAATAGAACTAAGAGTCCCCTGGGCAAAGAGGACGAAAAACACGCATAAGGTGCTGTGGGGGTATGGTGCATGGAAAGTACTGAGGACTGAAAGGAAACCAGTGGGCTCAGAGCAGAAATAGCGAAAGTCACACCAAATGAGAAGAGGGGATAGGCAGGGCCCATATATGAGGGCCTCTGTAGGCTTTGGTATGGTTTTGGCTTTTATACTGAGAGCAATAAGAAGCCATCAGAGGGCTTTAGCAGTGAGGCAATGAAGTTAGCTTTTGTTTTCTTGTTGTTTTGTAAATTAAATTTATTGGGGTGACATTGGTCAACATGATCATATAGGTTTCAGGTGTGGGTTTCTATATCATAAGATCTGTATATTGTACCATGTGCCCACCACCCAAAGTCAAATCTTCTCCCATCACCATATATTAGGACCCTTCTCACCCCAGCTCCTTCCCTCTGGCAACCACCACACTGCTGTTTGTGCTCATGAGTTTTAGCTTTAGTTTTGAAAAAAAAAAAATCCCAAAACAAAAACATTATGCTTCCTGGATTAAGAAAAAACAGCAGAAAAGAGAGCAGCAGTGTGGATGCACAGGCTAGATCCAGGAAATGCATGATGTTAGTTGAGATTAGGGTGGTTGAAGTAAACAAGTTTATAGATTTGAAATATTTAGTCAATGAGATAGCCAAGCACTGGTGATCACTATTGTGAGAAAGGGCTGGTGAGGGATAAATGTCTGAGAGATGACTCCTAGGTGGTTGGCACTGGATGGAAGGTGGTGCTCATCACCAAGAGAGGGAACATTGAGAAGGGTCAGGTTTGAGAAGGGAGATCATGAGAGTAATTTTCAATATGTTGAGTTTCAGGTGCTGTTACAAATGTAGAAAGAAATAACAGGAAACAACTAGACAGATGGAATATGTATTTGTGGGTTCCATATGCCAGGGGTGGTCACCAAAGCCAGGGGAGTAGGAGAGGTTGCAGAGGGAAAACAAAAAGGAAAGGGAGGCCTGGGGCCAAGCCTTGAGAGCTCTGATTAGCTCTTGAGAACTAAAGAACTATAAGAATTATAGAGAAAGAACTGCCCAAGAGAAAGGAAACAATCCTACTTAGTGTGGTGCCATGGAAGCCCTGGCTGGACAGTGTTTTAAGAAATGACAATGGTCAGTGTCCAATGCTGCTGAACGGTGAAGTAAGTGAACTGATCAGATAGTGCATCATCTAGATACACTCTGCTGCATCTAGTGACATTGGCAAGAGTGAATGATAGAGGCTAACGCCAGATTCAAATAAATTAAGTGTGAGAAGAAAGTGATAAAATAAACTTAACTTATAAACTCTGACTCAAGATGGTAGGGGAGATAGGAAATGAGATTTGGAAATGAGAATCTGAGTGAGGGCTGTTTTCTGTTTTAAGTTTTAATGGGAGAAAATAAAGAGTGTTTAAAAGCGAACAGAAAGGATTTCCTGTGAGGGACAGGGGAAGGTAAAGAGGGAGAATAACTAGTAACAGGATCTTGAGGAGGGAGATTAAGCCAAGTTCCAAGGACAAGCAGAGGCACTGGCCTAAGAGGAGAGGAAGGTAAATGTCTCTACTGTAACATGAGGAAAGAAAGAAAGGGTGGGAGTTGATGCTTGGTATCTAGAATAGCGAGCATTGTTGAATGGCTCTCTATAAAGTATACAGTGAAGTCACTGGCTGAAATAGTGGAAGATTTGAAATGGTGAGTGCAGAAAGAGAAAAAGAGGAGTAAAAAGACCATCTCAAGGGCCACTTGAGCTGATAATTAGTAATTTATGAAGGACTCTGAGGTACTTTATTGGCATTTGAAGAAGCATATTGTCAGATTGGTTTATATCCAACTGATCTTTGGCCAGACATGGAATGTTGGACTTTTACTTCAAAGAATGAAAACTGAACAAGAAGACAGACAAGTAAATCCATTTTCAATTGATGAGTTTAGGACTAAAATAAGTACGCTAAGGTTTCAAATCCATTTTACTAATCAAACTTCAGCTAAATATGTTACTAAGCTCTATTCCTTAGCACACACTTTCAAAATAATTTCAGGAAATTTCACCAAAACTGATTTCTTAACCTTACTTTATATTTACATAATAAGAAAAAAATTAAAATGACCTAAATGCAAATCTTACATTATGTGTGTGTGTGTGTGTGTGTGTGTGTATAAAACTGAAGTTCTCTTTCTTGTGAATATAGGCTAAATCTATTTTAAACATATCACTATATTGAAAATTGTAAAAAATAAAAAAGTGGAAAGTTACAATTTCAAATTGTGGATGACACATCATTTTTCCCCTACCATATTCACGACAGTTCTTTTTTCTAGTAGTATTCGAAATAAATTAGCTGTAATCTTGTTGTCATGGACACCTTGCTCAAGCCCACGATTATCATCTTGCATGAGTCTTCGATCCATGATAACTTCAATCTGACCTACGAAAAAACAAATGAAAAAATTGGCCAGGGTTATTTAATACAAACATCTAGTGAGGAACATGTAAGTACAGGCATGGTCTTGATTCAAGTTTCTCCTTTAGTCAAGGAGACAAATCTATACAACTTTTTCTCAATAATGGCTTAAGGTAGCCAGTATAAAAACATGATTATATTCCTACTTTTATTCATTAATGTCTAGTAAAATCTGATAAGAAATTTAAAAACAGATAAAAATTAAAACTTTAAGTATTAATATAAAATTCAAAAATTAATCTAAAGAGTAAATTAAGCCTCCAAAATTTTTGGTGTCACCATCTGGAATTTAAAAATGTTTATGGGGCTCATTACAAAATCACAGCACACAGGGAGTAGTAAAACAAATACAGATGGGTAGGATCTAACTAGGACTTGAAATATTTAGGTTACTTGATATGTGTTGATCTCTGAAGAAGCCCTGGGATTTGGTAACTACT